GGGGGGGAGTGCAAGGAGGGGAGGAGGGGTGGTGGAGGGAGGGGCACTAGAAAGGAGCAGGGCGACGACTCGGAATTAACTTCCAGCCCGGTGCGTTTCATAATGGCCCTGGGCCACCCACCCCTGTCCCGGCTCACCGGGCCCCGCGGTACCGCTGTGGTAGCAGCGGGCGGCGGTGCGGCTCGGGTAGGCAGGGGAGGCCTCGCCCGGCCTCGCCGCGCACCATCACGTCGACGAGAGTGCAGCTGATGAGAACGTGAGCAGTGTGGCTGTGGAGGGCCGGGAGGTCGGGGTGGAGGCACCGGGCGGGCGCCGCGGGCGCTATGGACCAACCCTGGCCGATTGGGCCGACAGAACAAAGCGCGTAAAAATAGCCCCACTAACACCAGCGATGGGCTGCCTCGGGATGAGGGGGTGGGGGTGAGCTGGACCACCACCTCCACCACCACCACCACCACAACAGGGGCTCGGCCTGGGCAGGACAAGCCGAGCGGCAGCAGGGAGGATTCCAAACAAAAAGCTGGGTGCCCTGAATGGAGTGGAGGGAGGGCGCGACTCAATGTGTGCAGCAGTGGGAGAAAGAGAGGGGGGAGGGGGGCTGAGCAGAGTCGAGGAGGACTCTGTTCACGTTGCAGAGCACACGGCGGGGCCGATAACGAATGGCCCTTTAAGGCCTGTCAGAGCCGTTGGCACCCGGGCATCAAGCCCAGGACCGCGTCGTCACCGGGCGACTTGTGCGCCGTGTTGTGTTGACCCCGCCGCGCCCCCACCACTTTGCGAAGATATCAAGTCGTGCGCTCATTTGCTGTTCGGGGAATGATCGCGAAATGGTCTGAAATAATAACGGCGCGGTTAAGAAACGATTCGCGAAGGGAGCGAAATGAAGCGAAATAACCCGCGGCCCTCGACTGATTTCGCCGGCTCGGGCTCGGTTCCAGCCGCCTCGCTGCTGTCCGCCATGGACCGCTCCGCCTCGCCGTGCCAGGACTTCTTCCAGTACGCGTGCGGGTCCTGGAACAAGCGGCACCTCATCCCTGAGGACAGGTCGTCCATCAGCACGTTTGAGGTCCTCGCCGAGCAGCTCAACCACATCCTCAAGGGCATCCTCGACGAGGACGTCAACGTCAACGACTCCAACGCCACGAAGAAGGCCAAGATCTTCTACAAGTCGTGCATGGACCTGAGTGAGTAAACGTCGGACCAGAAAAAGAGGGGGAGGAGAAGACCGGGGCGTGGGGGGAGGGGGCAGTGAGACGGAGCTGGCAGGAGATGAGAATTAACATTTCATGCGTGCGCGTCGAAACTTAATATCCGCTCGCCCAAGAGCGAACCGGCAAATCATGGGCAAATATACAGCAAGAAGCTGGTGGGATAAGGGGGAGGGGAAGGGGGAGGGCGCGAGCAGTTAAGGTGGAACACCGTTTCTATTCTGTCTGCAGACCAGATTCGGAAGGTGGGCGACGTGCCCCTGAAGATGGTGCTGACCTCGCTGGGCGGGTGGCCGGTGACCGTGCCCGGATGGAAGCCCCCCGAGTACCCGCTGGAGGTGCTCCTGGGCCGCCTCAGAGCTGAGCGAAGGCATGCTCTTCCAGCAGTGGGTTGGTCCCGACGACAAGAACTCTTCAGTGAACATTCCCCAGGTGAGTGGGTGTGTGTGTGGGGGGGGGGTGGTGGTATGCAAGTCGTGACCATTGTATCGTGCTCCCCAGCTGGACCAGTTGCAGTTGGCACTCCCCTCCAGGGACTACTACCTCAAGACAAGCACCGAGACCGAGATTAAGGCCTACCACAAGTACGTCACGGAGGTGGCCATGCTCATGGGCGCGGACAAGGCCACCGTGGCGCAGGAGATCACAGAGGTCATCAACTTCGAGAAGCGCCTGGCCGAGGTAAGGTGGTGGTGGGGCTGGTGCCACGACCGAGCTCCGCCTGGCAATGCTTTATTGACTTTAGTGAACGCTCTAACTGTATTCTGGCTTACCCACCCACCCACAGGCCTCGCTCCCAGAGGCGGACCGCCACGACACCTCCCTCAACTACCAGCAGCTGCCGCTGTGGCGCCTCCAAGAGGACGTGCCCGAGCTCGACTGGCACCTGTTCCTCAAGACGGTGCTCAAGACCGTCATCTCGAGGGAGGAGCCCGTCGTCTGTTACGGCCTGCCGTACTTCAGGTCCATGGGCAAGATCCTGGCCGAAACCGACAGGAGGTGAGTGCACCTGCCTCGAGAAACGCAACCCCTCCGCAAGCACTTATTCTCAAACGCAAATATGACTTTCAAACAACCACTTGCAGAGTGGTGCACAACTACTTGCTCTGGCGCCTCGTCATGACGAGTACGCGTCCAAGCGGGTCGAGTTCCGGCGGGTGCTGCACGGCATACTGTCGGAGCGGCCGCGCTGGGCGCAGTGCGTCGAGCTGACGAACAAGAAGCTGGGCATGGCCGTGGGCGCGCCCTTCATCCGGGACAACTTCAACCACGAGAGCAAGGTAAACTTACAGCCGGCCTTCTCCCTCCAACTGGGGTTCTCTTTTGCTTCGCACTCCGCACAACCCCGCGCCTTCCTCCCTGTCGGCAGGAAACGGCGCTCGAGATGATCCACAACATCTGAGGCGCTTTCAACGAGCTGCTGGCGGAGAACGCCTGGATGGACGACGAGACCAGGGCCGTGGCCAAGGAGAAGGCGGACGCGATGAACGAGCAGATCGGGTACCCTGACATGCTGACCAACCCGGCCGAGCTCAACCAGGAGTACATCATGGTATAACGTCTCGCACCCCCCCCCCCCCCCCCGGAACTTCGCCGTGCTCCTAGACTCTCTCCGTGTGCCCCTGCAGCTGAACGTGACTCATGGCCAGTTCCTCGTCAACATCCTCAATGTGCTCCACTACGAAGCGTACCACAACTTT